TATTTAAAGAGAAAAGAAAAGAAGAATGAAAATGAGTACAAAGAAAACAAATAGAAAAAAACATAAACAGAAAATGTAAAATGATCAAGACAGATCAAGGTCAAATGATTGCCAACCTACTAAATAAACTATACAAAAAGATTGTTCTAAACAAATTTATAATACAAGACAAAGAAGAGGTCAATTTAATATCAGAACCAAATATAGTCCTAAATGGTTTGGCAGCTCATTTTAAAAACCAATTTAAAAAATAAAAAACTAAACTTGAAGAAATAACAGAAGAATAAAAAAGAGTATATAACCCAAAAGATTGGATTAATAAAACCTAGTATAAGGAATTAGAAGAAAGAATAGAAGAAAAAGAATAAGAAGAAATACTCAAAGAGCTTAAAGCAAATACAGCCTTAGGAATATCAGGTATAAGCTACATATTAATAAAACATGCAGAGAAGAAATCACAAAGAATTTTTAGAAACTTTGCAAATCTAATTTCAGAAAAAGGAGACATATTAAAGAAGTGAAAAATCACACAAATATATTCAATTCCAAAAGATATAAACTAGGCTTACTGCTTAAACAATATTAGGCCAATAGTATTAATCAAGACCTTTAGAAAAATTGTCATAAAAGTAGTGATAAAAAGATTGTCAGAGTGTTTACAAAAAGAAATATATTCAAAGAACTGAATTTTGCAGATCTGTTAGGGAACTTAACAGAGCAATCAATATATATATTAAACATAATAATAGAGAAGGTGCAAGAAAAGAATAAAAAAGTATAGATACTGTTACAAGATATGAAAAAGGTATTTGACTCAGTTCCATTAGAAAGCCTAGAATAGGCCTTAAAAAGAGTCAAGATCCTACAAAAAACAAGAAAATACATAAGCAATTTATTTTATAACCAAAAACTCAAAGTTATTACAGCTTATAGTTTAATAGAAGAAATAATAGCAGAAGATGGAATAGACTAAGAAAAGATGATTTCATCACTAATTTGGTGACTTTTCTATGACCTATTATTAGAAAGAATACAAGAAGATGAAACATTAGGCTATATAGTAGAATAAAGAATAACAGAAAGAGCATGTAGTAATAATATTACAAATTATAAACAAGCAGCAATTGCATATACTGATGATACAACATGGATTGCAAACAGCAAAAAACAAATGTTAAAAATTTTAAGCATTGCAGAAGAGTTTTTTAAAGCAAATGATATTGAAATAAATGAATTCAAATTAAAGCTCATAGTAATAAATACAAGAACAAGAGAAGAAGAAAGAAAAATTATATTTAGCTATAGTAAAATAATAGAAAAACCCAAAAACAAAATTGTAAGATCACTAGAAATATGGCTAAATAATAGAATAAGAGAAGAGCTGGTTTGTAAGAAAGTAAAAGGAATTTTTAGTCAAACAGTTGAAGATCTGAGATACAAAAAGATAATGATGAGTCAAATTGCATATATAAACAATATAGTAATAATTCCTAAACTAGAATATCTTTTATAGCTAACAAAAATGGCAGAAGAATAATTGATAAAATACATCAACTATTAATATGCTTAACTAAACATAAATGCAATATGATGAGAACATCAAACAACTGCACAATTAAATACAAAGACTTAGATAATTGCAAAACACTAGGTCAAAAAATAATAACCAAACAAATAAATAATTTCTTTTTAAGACTCAATAAACAGAAGAGTTTAGGCAAATTAACAAGACTTAAAATAACTCAAGAATGCCAAAAAGCAGGCTTAACAGAAGACATTTGAGACAATAAAAAAGAAATAAAAGTTAAGAAGTTTTGAAAGAACAATCTTACCTATCAAACAATAGCTAAAGCAAAAGAAATAAGTATAAACATCAGAGCAGAAAGACTCTTATAGAAAGTTTACAAACATAGTAAACAAATAAGAGACATGCTAGAAACAAAAATATGGATAGCAAGCAGTAATACAATAAATAAATAGAGATTACTATACTTGAACCAATTTATAGATATGAAAGATAATAATCTGATCACATAGAAACAGCTTAAGAGTCTTTAAGGTCTGTTATACAAAGAAAAGAAAGCTAAATAGTTTAGTGAAATAGAAGAAAAGATACTAAGAACACAAATAAGCAAAGAAATACAAAACTACTACAAAATAAGAAGATATAATATACAAGCATTAAAAATTAAGTGAACAAAGATGTCTAAAGACCAAAGGAAAAAAAAAGGTTCATTTATGAACTGAAACATAACTAGCAATTAGACAAAATAATTAAAAAAAAAAAATGTTAACAGAGCATTGGTTAATACATATAGAAGAAAGAAGAACATTAACAGCATTAAGTATATGCAAATGTTATAAAAACAGTTTAGAATAAACAACAGACAAGTATGAAAGATAAATAAGATAAGATCACAACATAAGAGTAATATCAGAATTGCTAATAAAGAAAGCTAACAATAAGATAAATGCAATATTAAAGCAGATACTAGAAGATAGAATAATAGAAAATAGAAAAGAAATAAAATTAAGTTATTAGGAATAAGACAAACAGAAGAATTAGAAGTAGAACTGATCAAAAAACAAGAATTTGATAGCAGGATTATAAATTAATTAGTAGAGATATTGACATGAAACAAGAAGAGAGACAAGAGAAAATACAATTTTTATACTGATAGAGCAGTATACAAAAAGAAAGAAGAAGGCAATACAGAAAGAATAGGTATCGGTTGGGTACAAGTAGAAGAGAAAAAAGATTGACCAAAAGAAGAAACTGTATTGGGACTGGAAGGTTGGCTTTTAGTAGTAATAGCAGAACTAGCAACAATATGAACAACAATTCTAATAATACCAGAATAAAAAAGCATAGAAGTATATACAAATAGCATTACAGCATTAAGGAATATTAATAAAATACTTCAAAATATAGAAGAAGAAAGAACTTTGAAGAAGAAAAATGCAATATGGATAATGAATACTGTAGGTCTAATTAAGTGCAAAAATATTAAGATAGAAATAATTAAAGTTAAAAGTCATAGTGAAAACAAGTAGAATGACAAAACAGATTCTCTTACAAAAAAAGAAACAAATTACTAAAATAGAATATATACAGATAAAGTCAAATGTAATAGGATAGAATACTATTTAGAATGGAAAAACAAGAAAATTGATATATCAACAAGACTTCTTTGTAAAATAATAGCAAATACCAGAATAAGAGCCAGTTGGAGATAGACAAATCCAATATGAATATTAGAATCAGAAACAAAAAATGTACTATATAATTGGTTAAGTTTTTGGAAAGAAATGAACAGAATAAAAAAAATTTATTATACATTAAGAAAACTTAGTACAAGAAAAGCTATGGCAATCAAGTGCATAATGAATAGTCTGTCAACACTTAAGAAGCTAAACAGAAAAAGACTAGAAATATATACAATAATAGAATGCAAAATATATCAAATTGAAGAAAAAGAGACCCAAGTACATTTAACAAGTTGTAGTAAATAAAAAAGTTTGTAAAAGTAGATTCAAAAAATTGCAACAGTAACAATATAAAATAGATACAAGAAAGAGAAAAAAAACAGAACCTCATCACAAATCCTATACAAAACATTATTTGGAGAAACAGAAACTAAAGAAATTATAAACAGAAAAATGCTGATAAAGGACCTCATAATGCTAAAAGTAAAGAAAAAACTTGAGAGACTACTAAGCAAGCAAGCAACACAAAAATGCATAAATACAGTAACAAGAACAATATAAAACACCTTCTATGATTAGGTATAAAGAGTATAATACAAAAAAACATAAGACTGAGAGAAAAAGATCAAGATAACAAATAAAATGATCATACAAGAGAGAAACCAAGGAAAAAGATAAAGAAAAATAAACAAACAAAAGAAAAAGAAAGAGAAAAAAAACCAGAAAAAACAGATCAAATGAATAAAGAAACTTTAAAAACAATAAATATACTTGTCACAGAAGAGAGAAAACTTTTCTAGTATGACTTTAAGTAGTTAAATGAGCAATCTATTTCTAACTAAGATAATGCAACAGATTGCACTTAAGTACCATTAGGATGGCCGAGTGATGCTAGACTTAGATATTGGGAAATTCTCTGTAATTGTATAATATATAGTTTCAAAAATCTTAATAAAGTACTAGCGTAACTGCTTAAGGTTAATAATAAAAATAAAAAAAACCAACAACAAACAACACTAACCTAATAACTTCTAAAGAAATATCTCAACTAAAAAAATTCTATAAAAAAGAACTTTATAAATTACAAAACTACAATAAAATTTCACTAAAATACAAAAAAAATTAGAAAAAGCAAAAAAACCAAGTATCTTAGAATATTTCTCAAAATAAAACGAAATCGAGTATATAATCTACTCGGAAAAGCACCAACAGTTCAAAAATATAACTGTCTCGGTGAAATTATCAAAAAATTGGTGACCATGATCCTTCACAATTTTATCCTTAAAATTTTAAGAGAAAAACCTTCTAATGTTAGAAAATTCGCAAACTCAGATACGGAAGTTAAACTGACAGCCTCTCCTAAACAAGTCAAAAAAGACATATAATAATTAGGTGAGGCAATCATTTGACTCATTAAAAATTTTACACACATGACCTACGTGACAAATCGTGTGACTGATATGAGGTATCAGTCAAAATCGGCCCATATGATGAACCGGCACCCCATTTTTGGTAAAAAAAAAAAAAATTTCCTGACTGTAATTATATCGATATGAATGTCTTTATGATGTTACAAAAAAGATATATGTAGAACGAAGGTGAGATCATTATTGGACGTCAATGCGTTTAATATTACTATTAAGCTGATTCTTCCAAAAACAGATTTCTTTTAGATCTCTGCACTTAACGCACAGTCATACCACGATCCTTATATTTAAACTTCAAACCTAAACGTAAATAAAAATTTGTCATGTTTCGCTGCAACGCATGTCATGCAAATATTGGTAATACAGTACGCATTAATTGTGCTGTATGTCAAGATTTTAACCTTTGCGTTACCTGTTTTACTTCTGGAGAAGAATTGGAGAAGCATAAGAGCTGGCACGATTATCGTGTTTTGGTGTGTTATTACTTTCATTATGTCTATTTTTGCCTCAAAAGAGGATAATAAAACTTTAACAATTGAATCTTAATTAAACATATTAGGAACAATATTCGTTCCCATTATTTAATGAAGATTGGGGAGCAGATGAGGAAGAATTATTGATTGAGGGTGCAGAAATGCATGGTTTGGGTAATTGGGCAGATATTGCGGAATTCATAGGGAATCGAACAAAGGAAGATTGTGAGCAACATTACATGAAAACGTATGTTAATAGTGAGACATGGCCATTACCGGTAAATAATGAATATTTCGTGTTATTCTGAATGACCCTAATATAAGAAAATAGGGCATTTAAAAGATATAAAACGGTAAAATATATTTAATTTATTTTTGATATAGGATATGAATGTGAAATTTCAAATAGATGAAGAGACAATGCGTGAACGAAAACGGCGGCGTTTGCAGACTATAGAAAATCGAACCCAAAGTAATTATATCATTCCCCTCGTTTTATTATAATTGTTGGTCGATTCATTAAAGATTAATTTTTTCATAGACACAACGCAGAAAACTCCTACAAAAGTACTTACTTATGATTATAAAACGTAAGATTAGATCGTTTACATCTTGTACTAACATATTTGAATATCCTGAATTCTGTAGGTTCTACAAAGTTTGCCTGCGAACCATGAAATTGCGGGATACATGCCACACCGCTACGAGTTCGAAACAGAATACGAAAATGATGCAGAACTAGTAATTAAGGATTTGGAATTGAATGAGCACGATGATCCACAAGATTTCGGTGTGTTTATCTTTCTGTATCTTGGATTATATGATTTCTGCCAATAATAAATTGTAAATGTATAATAGAAATGAAAACCTACGTTTTGGAAATATACAACAAAAAACTGAATAAACGTGCCGAACGAAAAAGACTAATATTTGAACATGGATTGTTGGAGTTCAGGAAGAATGTGAGAAAGGATTACTGCGCTGGATCATTAATAAGCACAACAAATTGTGGTTTACTTATTTTTATTTTAACCAGAAAGCGATTGAAGATGAAAAGTATAAAAGTAAAGAAGAAAAGGAACTGTTAAGTAAAATCAAACCTTTTGCACAATCTTTGTGCAAGAAAGATTTCGATGATCTAAGAGATGAACTATTTGGTAAGTATATTTATATTTTAGTCATTTAAATATCTGCATATTTAAGAAAAAAAAAAACAAAAAACAAAAAAAAAAAGGAAAAAACCAAATATTTATTGTTTAGAGGAACTAAGCACTCGACTCGAAATAAGAAAATTAAAAGAATATCGTCAAATGGGAATAATGACACTAAGTGAAGCAACTAAATATGAAAAAGCAAAGGCGCAGAAGGTAGACATGATTTTTCTTTACATTGAAATCAATATACATGTTACAAATTATTGTTTGTTATTGTCTAGGAAGCAAATCGAGAACTAGCTGCTCGACCATATAATGGTCATACGATCCCGATATCGTATAGCGATCGTCTGGCAGTAAAATATATTTCTTCCAAGATGAATGAGGTGCGTTATATTATATTATAATGATAATTTAGATTCTGAATTTATAACTGCTACAGTATTTCACCACGCGTGAAAATTCATAATAAAACACGATCTTTTAATCTTTAAATCAGCATCATTCACCATCATCTCCTTATGGTAACAAAACACTTCCGGCGGCAGCATCACCAGTTATTAGACTAAATGTGCGAAAGCAACCACAAGCGTTAGATCTTAACGACGAAGAAGGAGTACATTTACTATCGGAAGCTGAACGAAGACTATGTGAGACCTTACGGATATTCCCAAAATCCTATTTGGTGATCAAAGAAACAATTCTTAAAGAATGGGCGAGATCAGGTGGAACCCTACGAAGAAGACAAGCTAGAGGTCTTATAAGAATTGATGTTAATAAGACAGCAAGGATATACGACTTTTTTATAGAGATGGGTTGGATACGACAGTTATCTGAGAATACTTCTAATAATTAGCACACAGCAATGACTTGGCAACAGTAGCACAAATTAATTTCAAAGTCTATGATAAGTAGTCAGGTTCAAGTATATTGTTAGAACATTTTTAAAAAAAGAAACATTAGCAATATCAGATCTTAGCTTGTTTTTAAGCCATTACTTGAACGACCACAATATGTCAAAATAATTGAGTGTCGATAGTAGTTAAAAACCTTTTTTTGGCTCATTTGAAGGAACATCGTATTTATTTTTTGATATATTGTCCAAGTGTTGTTAATAGTTAAACTGCCTCCTTTGGCACATTTGAAAAAACTGTTTTTTGACAATTAAATCAAGTCACATTATTTATTGTGCAATCCTAATATTGAATTGTCTTGAAACAGATTTTTTATTATTATTATAGCAATGTATTAGACCCGGATGCCGCAAGAACTTTTTTTAGGCAATTTACGCATTTTACAAATGTTACACAGCGACGCACCAAAATTGTCATCGCAGATTCCTGATTTTGATTGGCTAAGAGCAACGATCAAAAGTTTAGGTTGAAATTACTCAAAATTTTACTAACGAAATCACACCCGCCCATTAAATGAACTATGTTTCTGGATTAATTTTACTATTGCGGGAACTGATTTAAATGATTTTATTTTTGAAAATAATTAAAATTGTTAAATAAAATAATAATAAAATAGTTTTAAAGTATTGTTATAGATGAAAGCTTTCTTAATTTTTATACTATAATAATGAAATCATTTATGAGTATATATGGTGTCTAAGAGAGAAGTATAATTTCTGTTAAACATTGTCAAGAAATTATATCTTTCTCTGAGGTGGTTTAGAAAAGATAATGTAATACTAATAATTTTACTTTATTTACTAAGAAAGAGATAAATCTTGCTTATAAAAATTACTTTAAAAGAGAAGTATCAATACAGTTTATAGTCAAAAGTTGTTTATTAAAGTAATTATAAGAAAGATTATTCTTAGATTTTTGTTTTTAAAAAATCTTAAGATATATTTACAATATTAAAAGAAAAAGTAATATTTGTTATTTAATCAAATTTAATAAATTTAGTAAAGTTTAAATATTTGTATATTAAACAAATAAGTAGTTAAGTAACTAAGTAACTAAATAATAAGTAATTAAGTGATTAAGTAACTAAATGATTAAGTAATTACTAAGTAACTAGAAGGTTTTAGTAACTAGTAATTAAATGATTACTAAGCAACTAATTACTAAACAACTAAATAACTAAGTGATTAAGCAACTAAGCTATTACTAAGCAACTAAAATATTTTAGTAACTACTACTACTAATAATATAATAATAAGAAAAACTAATACTAATTAATAATAATAATAATAATAAGATAACAATTCTTTTTGTTAATTACTCAAATACAAAATTATAAAAAAATATTTTAAAAATTTATTAAAAAATGATTATATAAACTAATTTCATAGGTTTAAAAAAAAAAAATAAAGCTTATAAAAAAAGCATAACAAAAGAGAAAAAATTAAATAACTTAATAAAAGAAATAAAAAGAAAAACTTCTTAGTTAATATATTAAAAAATAAAATTTAAAAAATTTACTATAACCTAGCAATATAAATCAGTAACATGTAAATAAACAAACAAAACAAACATATATATTGATAAATATACAAACAAGTTTAATTTGAATAGTAATAGATATAAGATATAAAAAGTTTTAGAACAATAAATAAAAAACAAAAATTATTAATAATAAAACAAATATAAGTATTATACAAAATTGAAAAGAAAGTCTAATGTTAATTTATATCAAAAAAATATATTGGGTAGCTAATAGCATATATAATAAGATGTTTTTTAACCAAGTAAATAAAACTCTTATAACATCAAATAAAGAAGATGAAATTGTTGCTATATTAACAAAACAAAATCTAGCAAAGGTTGCTTGCTATATATAATTAAAGAAATAATTAAAAGAATAAAAAAAGAGTAGCCAGAAAAGAAAATTAATATTATTAAACAAAATAAAAATATAATAATAAAAGAACCTATAATAGAACAAATATAAAACAAAGAAAAAAAGATACATTAGTAGTCAATTAAAATAAATAGAAATCAAGAAAAATTTTACAAAATAATATAAAAAAGAAAGATAGAAAAAAAAGAGATAGCTAAAAAAAAAGTATAAGATAATATTGAAAACTTATAAAAAAAAGTAAGTAAAAAGGTAAGTCAGTTAAATAACAATCAAGAAAAAAAAAATATATTTAAACAAAAAAGAAATATAGAAGAAAAAAAAGAAAAATAAGAACAAGAGGGTACTTAAATGAAAATTAAAAAGGAAATTGACATAGTTAAAGAACCTTTAAAAAAGAGCATATGGGCTTCAAATAAAAAAAGTTATAATTAAAATAATAGCTTATTTGCCAATATATTGGTATATAATATGCCTAAAAAAACAAAAAATATATATATATAAAATTTATTAGATATCATTAAGAAACAATATATATATTAAAGATATTAGAAAAATCTTTAAAAAAGAAAGTTTATAGATAGAAAAACTTTACTATAAATATAATAGAGATAAAGCAATTCAAAAAATTAATAAAAAAAAAATAATTAATATATAATGATATTAAAAGAAAAAGAAGACAATATGAAAAAACAAATTCAATATAATAAGAAATATCAAAAGAGATGAAATAGTAAATTAAGATCTAAAAAAGAAGAACTTAAATAAAAAAAAATAAAACCAAGACAAATAATAAATTAAAGAATATAAATTATTTAATAATTTAGAACTTATTAATAGATATAAACCAAAAAGAATTAAAATACATCTGCAAAAGATTTAAAAAAACTATATAGTAAAAATTAAAAGATTAAGTATAAGGCCTTAGTAGTAATACAAATAGAAAAAATATATGAAGACATTCTATGATTTATATTAGTAAATAATAATAAATTAGTATAAGTAACTAAAGAAATAAAGGACTATAAATCAAAAGAAAAAAAATATATAATAAAACTAAAGAAATTGCCAGAAAGTTTCTCAGAAATTCTATTATTATGAAGCTTAAAAAAAAGATTAAATCTGTTCATATATCTTCAAATAGAAATAGAAATCAAAAAAAAACTATAACAGTTATGTTTGCAATAGAAGAAAATATAAAGACAGTCTAATCAAAACCCTTTATATATAATGATTTCTAACTATATTGAGTAAAGAAAAAAAAAATAAGATGAAAAGAAAGCCTTAAAAAAGAAAAAAAAAGCTGAAAAAGATTTAGTTAAACTTCTGATGCAGAAAAAAACAATAATAAAAAAAAAGAACAAAAAATTAAGTTATATATAAACAAAAGTAGAAAAGAGAAAAGTCAAAAAATAGAAGATCAGACAGCAACAAGCAAAAATAATATATAAGATCAAACTGCAGAAAATAAATTAAGACATATAGACCTACTTAAAGAAAAAAGCAGACTCTATAAAAGATAAATAACTAAAACTAAAACTCAAACACAAAAAAAATTTATATATATAAATAATATCTTGAGTCAAATTCTAGAAAGATTTGAAAGATTAGAAGAAACAAAAAATATAGCTTAAGAGAGTCTGGCCTATTGCTTCTAAGCATACTAGAGTTAAAGCTATAAGTATAGACTAGGAGATTAGAAAGTTTTTGTATAATAAAAAAAACTTTTTGAAGAAGAAAATATAGAAACATCTTCTGACTATAATAAAGAAACAATAAAAAAAGAAAAATAAAAGACAAAAAATATAAAAAAAAATATAAATGTTTAAAAGAAAAATAAAAACAAGAAAAAATAATAATAATATATTACAATATTAACAAACTTAAAAAACCAAAGAATGAAAATTAGAAAATCTTCTAGAATAAATAGAAAAAAAAAACTTATAATAGTGAAGATAACAGAAATAAATATTACAGAAAAAGAAAAAATTTTTATTGTATAATTATAATATACAGTATGAAGATTAGGGAGCTAACACTTATTACATAAATATAGCCTCTCCTCTCATACCCAGGTATTTGGAACCTCCTAGAAATCCCTTACTTTATTACCAAATAATTGGGTTAATGGCCCTACATGGCGCAGTAACTAATGGTTAACAATTTTTCACAAGATCATATTATAACAGCCCCATATGGTGCAGTAGCTAACGGTCAACAGCAAAATTATAGAACGTATAACGGCCCCGTGTGGTGCAATAGCAAATGGCAAATGGTCATTTTATTGCAAGATTATGTTATAACAGCCCTGAGTGGCGCAGTAATTAATGGTTTCTATACAATTGCACACCCGCAATTTTTTTATCAAGAATAAATTATATAATGGCGTGAGTTAAAAGCAACTTAATGCCCAGTAGCAAAATTTTACGAGAAACATTTCAAATTAGACTGCAGAAGGCGGTTTCTTAATTAAAATTTTATTTTTGCTTTTTTTGTAAAAAAAAAACAAGGGTTTGCTTTAGTTGTTTTGCTTATATTACACTTCACAGATTCCACAGCCACCACGATATTTTTTTTCTTTGACTTTTACAATCATAACTGCGATAATCACCACAATATCTTCTACTGTCAAATGAAACTTGCTCAAAAGTTTCAAGATTCAAACGTCTTTCTTCAGATTTTTTCTGCCTTTGTTCAGTTCTAGACAATTCCCTATTAACAATTAGTTTGAAAATATATGAGTTTAACAATCTTTTTTAAAAAAAAAGAAGCTAACCGGCCACTGGGTTCTTGTTGTTTCCAATCGAAATGTCAAAGAAAGATTTGGCCTTATCATAGGTTTCATCAGGTGGCATCAAAACATCTTCTTCCTCTTCTGGACCAAGTTCAATGCCATTTACGCAAGTTCCAGCCTTAAGATCATGGTTGGGAGTAATTTTGGCTTCTTTGGCAAGGTCTTTTCTTTTGTACTTGGTATT